TTGTTCTGTGAAAAAATATTCTCTAGTGAAGATACAAACTAAATTTATCTATTTTTCATCAGAATATATTTTATCCCCATATATATATGCATATCACATATCAAATATCTGGCATGTTATATAATTGTCATTCATAATTCCATCAGTATTAATGTACAATAATATGTTGTAATATTTCATGCTTTTGTAGAGATGAATTTCTTACATTAAATTACCATACATTAAAGCAGGATCAAGCACTGGCCTCAGGTGCCAAAGTTAGGGGGACACATATATCTACACACACACACACACACACACACACACACTTTCATATAGTATGCCAGCATTTTTCATACTTGGTCATTTTAAGAAGTGTGGACTTTTATCTCCCAGAATTCTGCAGTCTGCCACAATTGCCAGTTACTTTCTGGATGGTGGCAGCCTGGGAAAGGCCTCCGACACCCGGATCAGGCCTCCGGAGATCCGTGGAATTACATGCATTCTCCTAATATTACAGACATATTTATGGTAACTTTTTATGAATTTCCCCAATTTTTGTGGATAAAAGCAAAGGTGTCCTTATATTGTGAAGGTGAATAGTTTTTGTTCAACCAATTGAACTGGATTAAAATATTGAATGGAACATCATAAGATTCACAATTGAGACCTGTATTTTTCACCGTTTTTATAAATAAAGTGGTGGAAGAAATGTTTCACCATTTCTCTAACCTATCCAATTATCTTGATAGATTAGACAAGGCTGTGACAACTGCCAAAGCTGACACACCACAGCAGTTATACCAGTGACAACTATTCTTGAAAGCGTGCCCTGTTTTTGTGTAAGTTTTGGAGGCTGCAGAGGCTGTGCAAGAAGGGAGTGTGCTCTTGGGTGGCCTCCTAACCTACAGAAATTGCACGAGAGGGGTGTGCTCTCAAGTGGTCCCTGAAACCTCTGAAAATAGTGCAAGAACAAAGTATGCTTTTGTGTGAGTTTCTGAGACTCAGAGACACCAAAGACACCAAAGAGCACTCTCCAAAGCTGCTTCAAGAACAAAGGCTTCAGACCCAGACCAGCCTCAGGTAGGCCACAGGGGCATGTCAACAGAATCAACTGGAAGGGACCTTGGAGCTCTTCTAGTCCAACCTCCTGCTCAAGCTGGAGACGTATACCATTTCCAAGAAGTGGATGTCCAGTCTCTTCTTAAAAACCTCCAGTGATGAGGCACTCACAGCTTCTGAAGGCAAGCTGTTCCACAGGAAGAGAATACTGATCGAAGGTAAGCACCGCATGGCAGATCCTGAGAAACACTGGGCTACAGGGCCAATAGTGCTGTTCCCCAGGCTTGTAGGCCTTGGGGAACATTGTGAGATGGCCATTTGAGGTGCAGCAAAGACCCTCGGGTTGAAGTTGAGGCTAGATGATCAAAGGACTATACAGGTAGTCTTCAACTTACAACCATTCGTTTAGTGACCATTACCACAATATTGAAATGGACTTACGACAGATAACATTGATGTTCTCCAACTCTTTGCTGTAGTTGGCATCTTATGTATCTTATGAAATGTTGACTATCACCCAGTTGATTCTGCATATAATGTTGATTCTTTTATGGTGGGGGTGTATAGCCTTTTGTTTACAGTTTGGCTTACTGGGGTCATTTTCAAACAATGATTAAAAAAAAGGTACAGTAATTGCTTCAATGAGACTTGTCCTGACAGGCTTTGGGTAATCCAATAGCCACAATCCTGAGGCATGGTAAATGGAGTATGACGTATGGTATAGTATGGTGAACACAGTAACATGAGAGTTCTGCAGCTGGTTTGTTCTGAGGTTGTATTTATGTAGTTGGACATATACGACAAGCTGGGATGCTGCTGTTGTATCACCTTTATAAATGCATACTTCCTTTTCTGAACTACTCAGTCTCATTGCTGGAGTGTTTATGGAGTCACCTAGAATTAATATTAGGAAATGTTTTTCTCCTGATTTCGGAATTGGAGGTAGTTTGAGAATTCATGGTCTCCATGCAACCATATTATATCTTGGGTAATTAGAATTTTGATTTACAAAGCTGGTCATCCATTGGACCTTTTACCTGACAATATTATTTACAATAATATTTAAATACTGTAAATACTCATATAAATGTGTAAGGCTGAACAATCAAATCTGCTCTTTAGCAATTAGTATACCTATAGTCCTTGACTTATGATCACAATTGAGCCCAAAGTGTCTGTTGCTAACTGAGACAGTTAAGTGAACTTTGCCACATTTTATGATATTTCTTGCTACAGTTAAGTGAATCACTGCAGTTGTTAAGTTAGTAACTTGGTTGTTTAATGAACTGGCTTCCCCCTTGACTTTGGTAGTTAGAAAGTTGCAAAATGTGATCACATGATCCCAGGACACTGCTACTGTCATAAATATGAATCAGTTACCAATCATCCAAATTTTGAACACTAAGGTGACCAACGTTTTTACAACAAAAAGGAGGACACAAATAAATTGAAGAAAAAAATATCGTAAATAAAAGAAACATTGTATTTATTGCAACAATAATACAGAATACACCATAATATGATCAATGCATAATAAAAAACATTTGTAACAATAACATTTTATATTGTAATTATGCTTACATGCCTATTAATTATTTAAATGAGTACTTTTCCATTGAATGAATATTTTTTGTCAATGTATCATCTTCTAACAATATATTGGAAATATCTGAACAAGAAATATCCTTCATATTGAATTTTACGGCAAGTGCTGCAGCTAGAGTATCAACATTCAATCTCGATTTCTCACTTGTCCAAAAATCTACATGGCTGGACTGCATGGGGGTGGGCGGCAACGGCAGGTGTTGTGAGCCAGGCGCTCCAGGATGGCCACGTAGATGCGCAGGGTGAGGTGGTGGCAGTGCAGGTCAGCACTGCGTAGACCACCAGCTGGCGCAGCCCATGAAAGGTCAACTGCCCGCCGCGCCCCGACCCACAGCAGCCCCGCCAGCACCGCTGCCCTGCCGTGGAGAGCTGACCCCGCGGCTCACAAAGCACCAGCCGAGCCAGCTCCGGCCCTGAGCCGCCCCCCAGCACCACCGCCCACCCTGCGCATCCCCGTAGAGCCGGCCCCACGGCTCGCAAAGGCAAAGCACCAGCTGCTCCGGCTTCAGCCCTGCAGCTGTCCCCCCAGCCGCCCCCCAGCACCACTGCCCAACCTGCGCATCCCCGTAGAGCTGGCCCCACAGCTCGCAAAGCACCAGCCGCACTGGCTCCGGCCCTGCAGCCACCCCCCAGCACCACCGCCTACCCTGTGCATCCCCGTGTAGAACCGAACAGGGAAGATCAAGAGAAACTTACCGCTCCAGCCTTCTCCAGCTATCTGCGAAACTAAGTAAGAGATGGTGTAGTTGGGTAGCAGTGAGGGGTGCAAAGTTCCTGCAACTTGCATGTGCAAAGTTTGCTGCCTGGGTGTTTTGGCGCGCTCAGCAGCAATTCCTATTGGCTTTCGAAAGGGCTTTCGCCCTTCTGGGCGTTCTATGAGGGAAAAAAAGCCCTGCAGATAAGTCTTCAAATATAGAAAAAGAGGACATTTAGGAGGACATTTTCAAGGGAGGACAGAACTCACAAAAGGAGGACTGTCCTCCCAAAAGGAGGACAGTATATGGAAAAGGAGGACATTTAGGAGGACACTTTTTGAGGGAGGACAGAACTCAAAAAAGGAGGACTGTCCTCCCAAAAGGAGGACGGTTGGTCACCTTAGAACACGTAACCATGGAGTTCCTGCAACGGTTGTAAATATGAAAAGCTATCATAAGCCTCTTTTTTCAATGCTGTTGTAACTTCACACAGTCGCTAAATGAACTATTGTAAGTCAGGGACTACCTGTAATACCTCAGTTCAAGAGGTGTTAAATATTCATCATAGAAGAATATTTATTTCTACATTAATAGATGTATCTACAATTAATGTTTCTTGTCCTTTAATCTTGGCCTTCTGTTGCAGTCATAAACATTACATATAGTGGTTAACAGATAGGCAGCATATACAATCAATCAGTCAGTTAATCAGTCATCAATCAATCAATCAATCAGACAAGTTACTTTCTTGCCCATTCTGAGAGCCAGTGTGGTAGACTACCTAAGAAGCTATTGGCCTAGAATTTTGGTGGCCTGTGTTGAAGTCCACTTCCAGCCATGAAAGCTCACTATCAATTTCACCTCTGAACTATCCTATAGTATTCAATTATCATAGACAAATTAGAGTAGAGAGTACTAAGAAGCTACCATGGAACAGTAACTGGTGTGCTTTCTGGAATAAAAAAAAACAGTATTTGCAGTATAATATACTTTGTTTTTCTGTTGTCCCCCTTGGCAAGCGTCATGCTCCCTGTTACATTTTTTTTACCTAAGCAACCCCAGAGGCCAAAAGGACCTCAACTGAGAATTCACTGTTTTAATCATTATTGTCCTTTCCTCTTTACAAAAAGGCAAACAACACAACTGAATGAGATGCCTATGGGGGGGGGGGCTAGTGGTTTTCATGGCAGAGGCAAGCCTTAAAGTGGTTCATAATTCTGGGTGGCCATATGCCCTTTCTTTTTCACAAGGTATTATTTAATGCTGTGTACTTCAAACTTGGCAACATTAAGATGTGCGGGCTTCAGCTCCTAGAATTTTCCAGTCATCATGCTGGCTGGGGAATTCTGGGAGTTGAAGTCCACACAGCTTAACTGGCTCTGGCATTCTGGGAATTGAAGTCCATCCATCTTAGAACTGCCAAATTTGAAAAACCATAGATTTAAAGTGCTGAACAGCCTGATGTATTCTCAAATATTCTCCTTCAAATTTAACTCCAGATTCCACCTTTCCACTCTAGGAGCTGGAAAGCAGAAGCAGCCCGCCAGAGGCCCACAGCCACCAATAAACTCCCCCCGGGAACCAGCCGGCCTCGCCCACGGGACAGAGGGAGGCGGCGCCAACCCGGTCTTGCCGCATGCGCACTAAAGTTGCCGGCTCCTCGCCGGACTGAGCCGGCAAAGCCGTTCGAAGCAGCGCGGCGATCCTCATGGTGCTGGGACAGGCCGGCGGGGAAGGCGCCGCCGGTCCCACCGCAGACGGGCCAGAGGCAGCGGAGCGATGGGAGCTCAGGCAGAAGGAACCCGGCAACCGGGAGGAGGAGGACGGAGGTGTCCCGGAGCAGCCCGGCCCTTTTCAGGTTCACGACATGGAAGCGGCGGGTGCTGCCAAGCCGGGCGGCGAGAGCTCCTGCCCCTCCTGGACCTGCTACAGGATACCCGGTGGGTGAGGAGGCAAAGTGCCGGTGGCTCTTCGGTGACCCGGCTTAGCGGGCGCCGAGATTGTCCCCATCCCTGCGCTCTTCTCATTGCGCTTCTGCCCTTGACCTCCGCCCAGGGCGCCGAGAAACAGCGGGCTCCGCTCTTTAGGTGCCCTCCGGCTAAGGCGACGCTGAGCCGCCGCCGCTTCTGCCTGGGCGACGGGCGAGTCCCAGCTCGTGCCCGAAGAGCTGCCCCCTCCTTTCTTAGGTTTCCTCCAACTTTTGAAAAATCCTGCTAAACAATTCGGACGGGGGTCCCCCAAAGGAGTAAACGAGGATGGCTGATCTTAAACGTTGAGTTTAAAAAAGAGAGGTTATTTCTCTGGTTCATCGAGAATAACAAAACAACCACCACAAAAAAAAAAAAAAAAAATCTGAGTGGATCGACCAGACTGGTTAGGATCAGAGTGCCAAGAAACAGAATGCTTCCCAGCGTTTTATAGCACTTACCTCCTGAAAGCCTTGCCCAGCTCTGCATTTTTTAGATTTTCATTTTTCACTTTTATCTAAGTTACAAAATGTGCATATCCTGCCTTTTCTGTTCTGGAAATATGCATTCTTGGGGGGGGGGAGGTTTCTATACATCCTGAATCCGTATTTACTGTAACCCATTTATTCAGCACTCTTGTACCCAGTTTGAACACGGTTTAGTATCCTTCACACAAAGTAGTAAAGGTAAACAAGCCTTCCTTTAAATGCATAACAACTCATCTATGTTAATTTAAGACATGACCTTATTCCTTAATGCAGTGGTGGCGAACCTATGGCATGGGTGCCAGAGGCAGCACTCAGAGCTCTCTCTGTGGGCAAGCGCACTGTTGCCCCAGTCCTAGGCCTTCAGCTGGGTTTTATAAAACCTTTTTGCTTTAGGCCTCCGCCACCATGTACAAAAAAAAAAAAAGGTTCAATCAATCAGTCAATTTCAACTTCTCCGGGGGGGAAAAAAAAGATCTTACAAAGTTGGAATTGATTGATTGAACTTTTTAGTCCCACCCAGTCTGCTGTTACCACCACAGCCATGCCCACCCAATGAGCCACACCCACCTGGCACCCGATGATGCATAAGTGGGTTTTGGGTTGCAGTTTGGGCACTCAGTCTCTAAAAGGTTTGCCATCACTGCCTTAATGTGTCTAATCCTTCTAATGGAAAAATTCATGTTTGTATCGAATCAGGAAACTTTAGTTCCAGATTAATTATTGTAAAAGTTAGTTTACAAACTATGTAAACTAAGTTTACACATGTTATTTTATTTAATAGGTTTGAAAACAACCCAGAGTCACTTAGGTGATATGGGAAGTGTACATACATGCATGCATATGTACATACATACATACAATCCTCTAAAATCATCCAGCAGATTATTTTTATACTAAATAGGTTTTTTTTACAAACTATTAAATTTTGCTGTGGGATAATTTCATTTAAGTTAATTTTGAAATCATGAGTCTCTGGACCAGGGGTGTCAAACTTGCAACATCATGTGACGTGTTGTGATGTATCACGACTTTTTTTCCATTGCCGGCAATGGGGTAGGCGCGGTTTCACCATGACGCATCTAGCCCGGGGGCTGGCAGTTTGACACTTCTGCTCTGGACCTACAATAATATGGAATATGTTACAGAATAATGGTATTAAGTAGCCCGTATTCTCATTCTTTGCAAATATAATTATTTGTTGAGAAAAGTAGTCGAACACCGGAATAAATAAAAACAACTGTTTAATAAACTAACAACTGTTTGATAAACTTAGCTTTCGTCGGCTAACTGCCAACATCATCAGAGTGGAATGCCGGAGGTTTGAAAGCCTGCTCATAAGATTGGCAGTTTATGTGCTCTTATTTGTATACATTTATATACATATACATGTATAGATGTATGTATATGTATATACATATCTATGCAAATTCACATAAACATATATTTTAATTGATGTTCAACCTAAGCATATTACTGTAGAAAAGCAGAAACTGATATTTCACATTCAATTAGCTTTGTATCTATAATGTGCTATTGTGTATTCATTCATTTTTAAATAATTCTTTAAGTCACAGGCAAAGAGCAAATTATAACTTTTTATACTAGAGCAGATCAACTATTTCTTTTAGCAAATGCAATTATATTATTTAGCAAGTTTAAATAATAGTAAACTTTAACATCCAAATAAATCCTCATAGAATCTTTAGGTTTTGTTAAGCATTTCTGTACTATATATAGTTCCTGAAGCCTCTTGGCATATAATTTTGATTTTTCTTACTGACAAAATTAATGTGAGAATTTAAGAAATACTGTGCTGGCATTTTTTGCCTTGTGTGATACCTTTGAATAGCTTGGCTTCATTTTCAAATAGTAAACAAAATACCTGGATTGTATCATTTGAGATTGCAAGTGGAGACAGAGATGCTTTATTGTTTTAAGCAAAAATGGTATCATCCTAATTAATCCCATAATTGACTGTTTCATCTTGTTTGATAGTGGCTGAGGACTATATCTGGTTTAAACATGACATATAAGTAGTCCTTACTTAACTACAATTGAGCCCAGAATTTTGGTCATAAGTCATTGCAATTGCTAAGCAGATCACCATGTGGTCTGACTTGATTTTTACAATCATTTGTATAATGGTCATAAGGCAAATCACCATGGTTATTAAGCAAAGCACATGGTCATTAAGCAAATCTATTCTCTTGAATGGATAGTTTTTGCTGGAAACTGGCAAAAAGGTGCAATATGTGGTCATGTGATGTGGGATGATGCAACTAGTTGTAAATGCAAGCTAGTTGCCAACTGCCCAAAATGTGCTGTGTGTGTGTGTGTGTGTTGTAACTTTGAGGATGGGCTGTAAGTTTGGGGGGGGGTTCACTGTAACTTTAAATGGTCATTAGGTGACCAATCATTAAAGGAGAACTATTATTTGTAGTTTTGTTCATTATTATCTGACGTTGCTCTCCATTATGTAATATCTGTAAGAGATGGTTTTAAGTTTATACATAAACTTATACAGTATTGAATCTGTGCTGGTATGTGACCATACTAAAGATTTGACTCGACATATCAAACCTTTCTATAAAATATGTATAGGTTGGAATGTTTATGATTGAATGCATCTCCTGTATGAAGAAAATGTATTTTGGATGCAGGCCCATGGTGTTAGAGCATTTTGTACTTTTATGTGTAATTTATTCGTTCATACACAAAAATATGTTAACTTCTGTCAATCTCTAGTTAGACTTGATCCTGAGTAAAAATGACATCTCTGTTCCTCAGTGTAATTATGAAGTCAACTTGAATTTAAAATTTCTATCAAGGGTATAATTTTCAAAGCTGTGTTGAAAGTATGATTATATTTTAAGATCCAATGTCAGTAGAACATTGTGCTTGGAAAATATTATCTTACTCCATTCTTAAAGTTTACATTGAAAAGACAGATAATGCAAAAAGTGTAGCAATTTGCTGGGCTTGTTAAAAACAGCTGAATGAAAAGCTCCTTTATTTTATTATATTTATTTTGGCAGTGTGAAGCAATAGCATAGTCTTTCATTTGGGAAAAAAATAGCAGATTAATCTCGTGGTAGAATGAATAGAAAGAGCATGCAGAAGCTGCATGGAGGAGAGTGAAAGGAATTCTGCAAGATGAAGTCCACACATTTTCAAGTGTTCAAAGTTGAGAAACATTGCTATAGAGCAGACATGTCAAACTCACGACATCACATGATGTTGCGCGACATATCAGAGCTTTTTCTCCATTGCCGGTAATGGGGTGGGCCCGGTTTCCTCATGACGCATCCAGCCCGTGGGCCGGCAGTTTGACACCCCTTATATAGAGTATTACAGAAGTATGTGGGAATTATGCTACTGGGAAGGATGAAGAAGGAAACATTGTGCAATGATGAAGTGAAAGAGGCTGTGGATGAAGAAAAGTGCACATAAGAATGACTGCTGTAAAAGATGTATAATACGATTACAGAAAAAGAGATAGTTTAGAACAGAGTTCCCCAATCTCTCTGGCTTTGCGGACTGGCGGAGAGGGGAGAAGGGATGGTTCTGTATGAGTGGCAGTTAATGTGAACGTGTGCGCACAACTCAATTTGCACAAGTGCCCACCGCTTCCGCAAATACAGTGCATGTGCACACAAACACACACTGCTCATGCAAGTGGGGACATGAGTGCATGCATGCACGCTCACCCGCCACTTCCATGCCCCTGTTCCAAACAGCTCGTGGTTCAGTAATGGGCTGCAGCCTGGAGATTAGGGACCCCGGTTTAGAAGAACATTCAGTGAGAACATGGAGTGATTAAGATTAAAAGAGGTACAGAAATTGAGCAACTTTAATGAAAAAAAAATGTTTTGGAAGTTGGTGAAGAAACTTCCAGAAAATTGAATGAAATTGGAATGAAACTGAAATGAGGAAATGCTGAAAGTATTGATATACTGAAGAGTGGAATTGAAACACTGGCTGACCTCCATTGTGCCTGTGTCTTCTCAGCCCTGGATCAGGAGGAGAGGCAGTTCTTCCTCATCCCACTGGCCAGCTGCAGCTGTGTGCACTCTCCTCTGGGCCTCCCCGCTGCAGGTGTGCCCCTCCTTTCCCTAGCTCAGCCAACCACTTGTCTGGTCGCTCCTCCTGTGATTGCTCCGCAGTACTCGGCCTTACCACCTCCTGTCCCATGCAGTCTGAGGAATTCTGGGAGTTGAAGTCCATGTGTCTTAAAATTTCCCAAGATTAGGAAACCCTGCCATATTGTACTTCAGAGAAGGAGGCTTGGACCTGCAATTCCTTGGATTGTGATCCACTTTAACTATTCCACTATTGATTTTGGCACCTTATTTTTTTCTGATAATCAAATAGTCTGGCTAAACATTAACCTGATGTTTTATTCTTCAAGGTCAGCCTGGTTTATATTTCTTTCATCAGCTGTAGTTCATTTTGAGCATCCCTACTTTAATATAATATGAAATAAAC